GGATTGTACTAGCCATCTACAGAGATGTACCAATGTATGTTTCTGTTTGGAGAAGTTGTTTCGGAAGCCAGGTGAAGTTACTAGACTGATAAAAGGTAAGATGCCTTCAAATAGGCTTAGAGTACGAATTCTTCCAAGACAGAAAGCGAAATATTTCTCCCTGAGAAAGAAGCAAATGTATTCTCAAAAAAAAAAAAATTAACTGAGGTTTTTCTTTGGGGGTGAGGGAAGATGAGTAAGAGAGTTACTACCCGAATGCTGGCCACTTGTGCTTCCAGATGGTCTCGATTTAACTTTTAAAGTGTTCTGGAAGGAACATTACAACACCCTTTCTTGTGCGGGGTTAATTGAAGAATCCTGGACCAATGTCTCCTTAAGGACACTGAGATCTGCCTGGAAGAAAGTGCAGCCTACAATTATTCAGGAGAGACTTTGAAGGCAATTCAACTTGAGTTACCATCAGCCCTCAGGAATGAGTTGAGTTCGTAAGTCAAGGGTCCCCTGTAGCTTACATTGATGGGCTACTTTACAATAAAGTGTTTTCTTCTAGATTAGCAAATGAAATACTAACAAAATCCCCATAAGCGTGAGGGGCAGGCCTCTCCAGTGCCCACTCAAAAAACCTGATGTCAAGAGAGTTCGGAAACCTGCTGTAGTTATCAGTGCTAGAACCTGGATTTCTGACTCCAAAACTAGTTTTGTTTGCCAAATTACAGTCTTATTAGAAAATAATCTATTTGGAAAAAGCAATGAGATTCCCTTTCCTAGTATAGATGGCAAATGATTACACTATGTTGTAGGTAATAGAGATCATTCACCTGGAGCTGTAGTCTTACTCTGTAGAAAACCTTTAAGTCTAGAAAGATCCATGGTAATTACCCAGTGTTACTCTGTGGCTCTCCTGGAGAAGAACTGTGGTGCAGAGAACTATCATGATATGGTTTAATTCAGTTACTTGCTGGTGAAGCTAGGCACAGAGGTCAGATTTCCCTATTCCAAGCATTTGTTGTTACTTATTTGTCTTTGTTTGTTTCAAATGCTACTCATCCTTCACCACTGGATTTTCCAAAACTGTATACAAGTTCGTGACAGGGCCTGAGAAAGCAGGGCTTTCAAGTTTACAAAGGATATTTCCTCATCCACTCTAGTGGTGCTTTGGGGAAAGAGCACAGGTCTGGCTTCCCGTGGAGCTTGGTTTCAGGTTCTAATTCTGTTCCCCACTAACTGTATAGCACTGGCTGTGCCATGAGCCTCTGTTTATGAAAATATGGTATTATTAGGATGAATTTTATTTTGTGCACTATGTGTTCCACACAAGCCTCTTTCCCTTCAGACAGCTGGATAGGAATTGGCACTATTTCACAGCAGTTCAAATTCCTCATTCCAGGTGTAAGACAAAAAAGTTGTTATAAAATGCAGGATTAAAAAAATGTATGATTAGACATCCTTTCTATACCCACCTTCCACCTGGTCCTCATTGCCACCTCCATGCTGCTATATAAAGATTTTGAGACCTGAGGTGAGACAGAACAGAGGGAACGTGTCAGAGAATCAGATGTTCTACAGCGCCATGGAATCCTCTCATAGCGTAACTACAAGTGAGGGCACTCATAGAACCCATATAAAAGTTGCAAACAAAATAATATAAGGAACAAGAGAAATATTTCAGTCAAAAAGTCTGCTGAATCCTGAGCAGAACTGGTTTAAAATTTTTCTGCCTGTAGAAGCATCATACATTACATTTAGAAAGGAAGAACCCTGAAAGTCACAAATAAGTAACGTGATCTAAATAGAAGGAAATCTGCAGGACCCAAGGCACTCTGAGGGAGATTAGCTTGGTGCTTGAGGGAGAAAAGTCTGTATGTGGACTTCAAGTCAGACCATGTGGGTCAGAGCCTGTGCCAGCCCTGACAGCAAATCCTATCTGCAACGGTGAGAACACGATTCTTCAGAATTGAAGCAAGTTTCTAGAAGGGAAGAACTAAAGGCAATCTGTAACAGGAAAAAAAGTTTTAAAAAGAGGCCAAAAAAAAAAAAAAGAGCCCAGGGAGAGGAAGATTAGCAGATAGAAGATTATAGGATACTGTTTATCTCAGTAAACTGGGACATAAAAGAAAGATTCTGTTTGCACACAGGGAGGAGTTCTTTCCTGGATTCAAAACACAACTTGCATCCATTCCCAAGCTATTCCTCACAGGGTTCTTTTTTTTTTTTTTTTTT